ACACACACACACACATGCCGTACCAGTTCTTGTGCCATCGAAGGCAGGTAGAAGACGGGCAGCCAGGTCATGGGCCATCGTCAGCAGCTCACCATTGTAACCGTTCAAAGCATAGTTGCCCAGCATGTGTGAATCATCCGTAAGAATCAAATGAGCCGACAGGAGAGATCCGATCACTCTGAAAGTCCAAACAGATCAACAACAACTGAAAATCTCCAGAAGTGCAGATGGCGCAGGCTGTTAAGCAACGGGCTTCTTTTTAGAGGAAAATTCATTTTAGCTAGCGCGTGCTGAAGTTACGCGCTCAGGACTTGCCTTATTGTTGCCTCAAATACTTGTACAGTAACGTTCCTCTCGAACGATACACTGTTAATGACCATGCGAATAGCATTGTGGAACTCCGTTCGATTCCCAAAAACAACCAGCGTGTCCAGCGACTCGATCTAAATGAGCAGCAGAGCAGTGAACGGAACAGAGCGATAGCGCACTGACAACGAATAACTTCCATTTGTGTGTGTGTGTCGCTGAATGAGTCTCGTAAGCATACCAGAGAGAGCGAATAATCGCCGAGCACATCATTGATGTTTATGTTCGACCTTAACGGGAAATCATTCAGTGGAATGCAAAGCGGAACGAGTGGGAGCGGATGAAGCGGATGAAACTCACGGATTGAGGTGGTCGTGCCCGCGGCCGGCACAGTTGATCGGATCGAGCTCATCCATCGGGAACGCGTGCCGCATGTAGTTCTCGTACGCAAAATAAAACATTTCACGGGCGGCCTCCTTCGCCTCACGCAGCTCGCTCGCTGAGAATGAGCCATAATTGGCTTTATAGCTGTCCTGAATGAACGGATAAATGCCTGTGCAATGCTGCGCTGACGCCAGTAACAAGAACAAATCCAGGAAGGCACAGCAGCAGAACATGCTCGTCACTGGACCTGCAATTTTTCTCACATCTGCACACAAAACCGGCGAAAATCGCTCACAATTAGCATAAAGCAGGCAAACCTCCTGACACACCTCCGGCACTTCAACGTCCACATCACCGGCACCCATCGAGCCCAGAGCGGCGCCCCCAACCGATCCGCGTACAGTGCCCTTGCAGCGCGAGCAGAGCAGCAAAAACGAACTGACGTGACGATTTTAGACTGCCTCTCAATGAAACTGGACAGCTCTGACTGCCCGCAGCATGAGGTGCTCTGTGAGGTGAGCTCGGCCGAATGCAGGTGAGGCAGCGATGGCGGAGGGGCGCCAATCTGGCCTGGCTGGTCCGGGAGCGGCCCCCGCCCAAGTTGGCGATGCTTCGGGCGAGCTCCCGACTTGAGCTGCTCGCTTCGCGGCGACAGCTAATAAAGCCGCGAAGCAGGGCATGCACGTACGAGACCCGGCGCTTGCTTCGACATAATTTGCATACGCAGAACTGGGAAATATGACTATAAAAGAGTTGCTTCGGCGCCTGCTCCTCATTTCTCACAGTTTCGAGTGCACTGCTCACGGTGCACATTTATCATCTACTGAGTGCAGCTGCGTCCGGACAACAGCCAGAGATCTGTAAGCTTCCAAATTGTGTAGGATTGCAGCAGTTTCCATTCAAAACATTATTTTTGAATGGTCACTGGTTATTACGGTACCAGCAAAATTTATTTTTTCGCCTCCTCCCACCTCCTCAACCTCTATGCAGTCGGTGCGTGCATGGATGCGTGTCTGTTTGTAGGTACGTACGTATGCATGCATGTGTGTGTATGTCTACCTGCCTAACCCCATACCTCAATTCCAAAGCTGCGAAAGCTTGAAAGATGAAATTTGGTAAAAATTGACCCTGGTAGCGTACGAGACCCTGGAAATGAAACAGTTTTTAGGTCTTTTGTAACGTGAAATTTGCCCTCTATTCCAACTTCTGGTTTTTTTTTTTACAATTTCGGAAGAAAAAAGCCATGCGCATACATATATACATACACATACATACATAAGTCTGAATCGTACGATCGCACACAAGGCAGAACAGAAACTAACCTTCAAGCCTTCCTGTATCATGCCTTTTAACCACAAAACCAAATTTAAAGGATTTCATAATTCACGAGCCAAAAAGACACTTATTTTAATACACTGATGAGCTGTTGTTTTATCGTCCTGTTACTCCTTGCCGTTGTACGGTTCCGCGTGATGTAATTTTGATATTCGCTGCTTAGCTAGCAGGATCACGACCTATGATCTCCATTCATTTCGCACGTGATCTTTTAATTCACCAGCCTTGACGGGGCTGATACTGCGGAAAATACTCTGTGGTTAAATACGCCAGGACAGATATAGTCCCGTCTAAAACAGTGACAGCGGTGATTATGGACGCACGAAGCCTATTGCATAGTAGTCGGGCAAAAGGATCACTGGTACCTGATATCTCTCACTAGTATCTGAATTCTTCCAGCAACCTCCTACTGTGTAACAGATTAATTAATCTTATTATACTCAGT